GGGGAGGTTTTTTGGTCCATGACGAACCTGATACCAGATTTTGCGTCTGGAAAGATTTTTTCGGATTATTAGGAACGTTGGGACGAGAAGGAGACCGGGCGGCGCCTTCGATGTCGGAAAGTGTGCGATCCGGAGCAGTAGGGTGAAGCTATTGGAAGAAGTTTTGATACAAGAGACGACGGAACACTTAATCACAAAATACAAGGCTAACAGTTGTCCATTACTTTCTTTTCCATTCTTGAGTCCCAACTTCTGACTCTGATGAGTCTTGTCGAATTCTCTCCCCTCGCTGTTTTGACTTCCTTTTCGTTCCGACCAGTCAGAGTCACCATCGTTGATATCTGTTACGACTTTGCATCGATTCGTTTCAAGATGAAATCTCATATCAGCCCGAGAGAGAGAACATGAAGATTTCCTTCTACGATGCTTTCTCTCACTGAGAACAGAGTCCCCTCTTCCGATATTCCACTTCGGACGGTTAAGCTCAGCGGTTGTCACTCCCAGGGTGTCAAGTACCCATCGCTTAACGGGTCTTTCATAAGAGCCTTTCCATTCACGCCGATGGGTCACCCTTACTTTAGGCAAGATGCTCGATAGGCACTGGCATACAAAGATAATTATTGGCACGAATTTGTTCAACTCACTCCGGGAAAAATCCAGAAAAACGCAGTAAATCCAATAATGAAGATGGCACATCCAATATCTGGGATAACAACATCTTCTCATTTTATTAAATCAGTTCACTTACACGCTTTCTCAAAAACGACTCGATCTGTTGGATCTCGCACCATCCCGCCAAACCGATTGTTCCGTGATTTGGATCGCCTGGTGATCGGCCTTGAACGTGACGAATTTGAAGAATAAGCGCAAAGACGGATGCAGTCGGTACAAAATATTTGATTAGAAACGCCCATCGAGGCGGAATACTTTGAGACCCGAGGCAGAAGAAGCCCTTGGCCATAATGAGCTGCAATAAAACAGATTATTATAAATCATTAAGCACAGAGATCACGTCGGAGCAAGAGAGGACCATTCGTCACCTTTTCTGATCATATCTTCCTCAATCTCTGCGGGTGTCGGGGCGGGTTGACCGGCTTGTAAAGAGTGTGTGAAAGGAGGAGCTCCTATTGTGATGTCGTTAATGTCTGCTCTCAGGATTTGAACGTTTCCAAGAAGCAACCACCCAAGAAGCGTTCTGCCGAGATGCGCATGTGACAAAGTAAATCTACGGGGCTCACTTTGAAGCATTCCATCTTGGTTTCTCGATTTGTTGTCCATCTGCACTGCTTCCATCTCCAAAGCCACGCTAGAGAGATTGAGAGTGAACACCCAACGATCCCAACGCCAACAAGAAGAAAGATACGCTGAGTAGGCGAAGGGAGGAGGTTGAAAATTTCTCGTGTGTGTGGATCATTGTCGCTAGAACAAGAATTAGAAGGAAGGAAACGAGAAGGGAGAGAACGCTCGCTCTGCCAACAGACTTTGATTGGATCTCGATTCCATCCAGCCATCCAGCCTGAACAACGAGGGATGTGAACTGCAGAATCAGTCACTTCATATACAAGTTGACTGATCACTCACCACGATACAAAGAATGAGGACGATGACAGGAACAGCCATTTGAGAGTGAGTATAAGAGAAGAACCACCAATAGCGATCAATAACAGGAATCAAATGGCTGACTGTGATACCGATTCCGATAAAGACAAGAACGACAACGACGTTGATTTTTGAAAATCGACTTCCGATCCAACGAGTACTCTGAGAAAAATGTAAAATATTCAATGAATGGAGTTGTCTCCATGAGAGCCAAAGGTGTGTGTTCAGAGCAGCCATCCAGACCGCTACACCAACCATTATGTCTTCAGTGACGACAGCAATTTGAGAAAAAGAAGCGTTTGTGGAAACGAGGACTAATGTTGCAAAAAAATAGAAAACAGAAACCTGATGGCCAGAATGTCTCAATCACGATGGAAAGAAGAAGCCTTCATGTCGAGAGACTCACCGGGGATCCGGGAAGGTGCGACAGGGCCAGCGGGATTACGCCCCATGACATATACTCAGGTGACTTTGTGATTGTTAGCAGTCCGAATGACGTTGACTCAATTCGGATGTAACCCAGAAAAGGAAAAACTGCAAGACTACAGAAGAAATGAACTCCTCCAGACATTGAAGAACCCACCCAGCCATGAAAGAGATTAGAAAATCAAGATTAAAAGCTAAAGTAGCAGCTGCATAAACAGACTGTCTTGGTCTGCAAGGAGCATCAGAGACGTTGCTGGGGAATCAAACTGACTTGTTATGCGATGCTAAACCAATAAGGAGTGTCGTTGCAACGGAAGTTGAAGAGAGTGCTTGCACGATAGCGAAGCTCCACATATAGGGATTCCAAAAATCAAGAAAACCGCGACGAAACGCCTCTGAGATGAAAGACAGCTGATAGAACAGAAATCGCGCTCCTACCGAAAAGATATCCCATCGCATACGTTGCTCCAGGCAACGTGGAACCAAACGAAAAAAGAAAGAGAAGAAGAATGACGGCCGCGGAAAGCGTCCATACAGCAACTGGAAAACAAATGAGATTTTGAATAAAGAGTTGCTTCCTACCAGAATAGAGAATCGTAGATACGCCCCGTGTCGCAACCAAGAGGATAGAAGTCCAAACGACAACCATTGAAACAATCGTAGAAGCCACTGTTCGTCCAGAAGACGCGAGATTCAGACTATCGCGAAATCTCATCGCCTGAAGAAACGTGAAGTGTTCAAGAAGCGTCAACTACGCGCAGCTTGTTCGTGTAGCAACAAGCCCTACATAAGCGATTGCATCAATTGCACACATTTTTTGAAAAGGATTCCAGATGCAGTCGGGTCCCCCATTTCTGCATCGTGCCGGGTTCTTTCCCATCAATCGGCACGTGTAAAGCGCCGACTCCGATGGACGCCAGGCAAAATGTGTCCCAAACGAATTTGCAAAGTAAACCAAGAGTGCGGAGATGTCGACTGCGAGAGGGCAGAAACGATGAAAAACGATGAACAATGGTGATGATGGTGATAATATCTTTTCAATTTATCACAGTTAACAGCAACATACTGACATGATTGAACGACAGCAGAGAGAAAAGTTAAAAAACTGATACAGAGAGTGAATCCACGCGCTCTTGGATGAAGAGAATCAATTGCTCTGAAAGAACCTCCTTGGGTTGTCTAAATGAAACAATGCGGAGAGAGACACTAGATGATAGAAGGCGTACTTGGCCAATACCGATAAGCAGCGACATAACAGGAATGACAATGAGATACCCAACAATGGCATACGCAATTACAAATGGCATGCCATTGTAGAAATACAGAAAATATTGAAATCTATGGAAGGAAATTTGAACTTAAAATGTGTCATACGAAAAACGAACCGCGCAAAATTGGATGTTCCGATAAATCCAGCACAGGACGAAACGACAAAGACCCCAATATTTGGCCACCAGTGAGAAGGATTACGATCAAACGGGTTAGACCAAGTACTGACAGGTTGAACAAGACCATCGATAATGTCAAGCGATGAAGAGAAGGAGAGTGATCCATGAGCGAAAGTAGCACGAGAGATTGATGGAGGAATTCGACTGATTGAAGTTGCGATTGATCCCGTTATCGATCCAGCAATTGAATTATTGCGCCGATGACTAACGAAATCATCATCATCTTGAACCAATCGCCTCGAGTTGGAAGCCCAATGATCGAACCGTGGATAACCAATCTGAGATAAATCTTTACCCGACATTGATCGAGGTTCATCATCGTCACTCGATATCTCCCCTGCATTTACTCGCCTCTCTTTCACGAGCTGTCTTAACCCGCGTATTCCGTTCTCTTTGATAATTTCACGTTTTCCTGCCGGCAGTTGGGCCAATTGGTTCGCGATGTATTCGCGCCAGTGTTGCGCCTGCTCCGCCATCTCAACGTCTTCAGACGTCACAACTGTTCTTGGCTGTGAGCCCTTCGCGCTGAGCATTTTTTTAATCCACCCTCCCCACGTGCGTTGGTGTTCTGGAAGTCCAGTGGCTATTCGACGTAACGCGTGGCGCCCTCTGCGGTTGATAGGCGTCCCCGTTCGTCTTCCTTTTCTTTGAGGTGAATTTCTTGAAGGATCTCTATGTGATGATTCAAGCTCCCGGCAGGGACCAAGTATTGTGACACGGGGTGCTTTTCCCCCTTTCAATTCATTGTTGCTCTGAACACGGACATTGCATCCTAGATCCCGCGTGCCGTGCTTGAGTAAATCTTCCATGATGAGAGTGGAACGATTGACAACCGGAGTACTTGGGTCATTAATGATCGTTGAACCTGCATTGAATGGTGAGTAATGTCCTGGACTCAAGTGTCCTGTGTTGAATGCAGAAAAGTTTCCAGCAAACGGTTCTCTTCCTGCGAATGGTGAGAACCGTCCCGCATTTGCGATCGTTGGGGTTGGTGTCTCCAAGACTTCGAGAATAATATGATCTGAATTTTGCGCGACAAACATTTGTTCGAGGTCATCCATTTCTTCACAACAGGGGACGTCCATAAGCGGATGTCGAGCCACTGGAGATTCATTGCCACGTCTCTGACGGAATGCAGTGATTTGTTTGAGAGAGATGGAAAGCTCTTCAGGTGGGGAAGATGCAGAGCAGAGTGGCGTCGCCTCCTCATTTGAAGGAGGAATCATTCTGGTGTTCAGTTTGAGTGGTCAAGTGCAAAAATCAAAAATTGATTGAAACCGCCAGCCATGTTTGGCCTGCTAAATAAATATGACAGCCTTAGCTGTATCCAAAGTAAAAAGAAGAAACTCCTAGCAGCAAAATTGGTTCTGTGTTCAAAATCTTCAAGCACAAATATCAGGGGGGCACCTTTTGAACCTGTTTTGAAAATTTGAGCCTGTTCGTTTCAAGAAGGAGGCGACCAAGGACTTTCAACCCATATGAAAAAGAACTCTTTCAAACATTAATACAAAACGTCGAGCGTCTAAGATGATGCGTGGTCCAAGAGATCCTTCCCCAACAGAAATGCAAAAATCCCTTTCTTTGAGTGAACCGTCTTTCGAGCGACCTTTCTTTTACAACTGGATCGACAAGAAGGAATCTGCAGAATCAGGCGAGACGTTCGTGTCGAGCGACCACAAGTACCCCCCTCGACGCAGAAGGCACCGCGCGTCTCGACCCCATCTGCACTGGGACGAAAGTCCTTCACCCACACATTTTCCAGCATCCTCTCCTCATAGAAGCAGATCGGAATGCAGCTTTTCGTCGAGGCATCGTCCTTTATCCAGCCGCGCCACGGACTCCGCACGCCCTTCTCTTCGCCTTCCGTCGACGGTTCGCGGAATTTCAAAAGCTCGATCCGCATCTTCGGCGGGATCTCTTAAGTTGCACCGACGCGCGTCCCAAAAATCAACGAATCATCATCGCAGCAGTTCTTTCGCTGCGGTCCCCTTCGGGCCAGTCGATCTTGGGACGCTCAATAAGTCATCAGTTTACAATCAAGCATCCACAAACGGACAACGCATTGATGGAAGTTTCAACGACAAGAGTCACAAACCTCGACGTTACAACAGTTTTGCGAGCACAAGAAGAGGAGCCAGACCAAGACGACCATCAAACGCGACACAGAAGCGCGACAGTGGCGATATTCCGTCGAAGAGCGGTCAAAGCATTACAATCGACCCTTCTCTTGTCGGACAGAGACGCTCCCCGTTGCGCTGCAAGTGGTTGTGGAGGATTTTCTCCACCCGCTGCGAAGTTGCACCGCGAGTTCTGACGTCCTCTGATGTCGACGACGCACTCGTTATTCACGAGAAACAAGCGTTGCGGGATGCACAAATGGCAGAATTGTCACCCGCACAGCGCGAGGCACGAAAACAGATGGAGGCGGACTGGGAATCAGACGAAGACGGATCGTCGACGTCGGAGCCGGAACTCTTGCCAAGAAGGCGAGAAGGATTTGCCACGTCACTAGGACGTGCCGTTCAACGTCAGCGCAACCGGTTGAAACGCAGGAGAAACAGAATTCCATCAACGAAGGACTCTACGGAACATGCAAGAGCGACAATGAAGGGATCTCGATTTTCTGAAGCACAGCCATCAATGAAAGATGGAAACAAACCTCTCTCTTGGTGGCAACGAGAACGAGATCTAGATCAAGGAGAGAACCCATATTACAGACCTCGAGGTCACCAATGGTCAGATTGGAGCACCTATGTGGTGGCTCTCACTGCCGCATGGATGGGAATTCCAAACATTTGCAAGTGAGTGGCAATCGATGACAACAGATCTAATTTATTATTTGCACTACAGGTTTCCTTATTTCGTTTTTTATTATAATGGACTTCCTTGGTTCATCGCCCATACAATCATCATTTTCTTTATTTGCGCTCCTCTTACGGCTTGCGAGGCTGGAATCGGTCAAGTAATCATCCATGTTTCATGATCGATTCATTATCACCTTCTCATTCTACACTCAGCTTGTTCAAGGGGGACTCATTGAAATGTATGACTGCCTCAATCCTCGTGCTCGTGGTTTCGCTCTCCTCACTGGAGTGATTGCCCTTATAACCTGCTCGAATCAAACAGGTCAGTTCCAGTCGCTATGACTAGATCTCATCTTATTCGTCAGTCACCATCGCTCGTCTTCTGATGTACGTGACCCAATCCTTCACGACTGAATTTCCATGGAGAGCATCAAACGATCTTCTCACTGAATGTGCTGATACAAACACTGGCTATTGCTCCCTCGGTGGTTCTGAATGCGGACTGAATGATCTAACGGATGAATGCGCAATCGATCATATTAGTTTGGTATGTCGATTGTCTGAAGTATATTTTATCCAGCTGTCCACTAAACGCGAGGCCTCCACGTCAAATTGATGTATTTAGCAACACGTTCTTCTCAGGCTATCCGATGGGCACAAGCGATTCGCTTCACTGATAATGGCGTTCCTCAAATTCCTCTCCTTGCGCTTGTTGTGTTGTGGTTGCTGATCTTCTTCACACTTAATCGTGGAATGGGAGTCTTGGTCTCACGTACGATAAACAAAAAAGTGATTGGAAAACCATCTGCATCCTCGTAGTTGGAATCTGGACTCTTTCTGTAACCGTTGTGGTTTTCTTATTCTTGGTCTTCTATGGAGTATCTTTGCCTGGGGCTCAGTTTTCTATGAGCTCATTGACGGGTATGTCTTTCCACAAAGCGCCCTCTATTACTCATGTCACTCAGCTGGGTCGCTCAGCGATCTTTCGAATCCCTACCTCTGGGCTTTTGCGACGGTGAATGCGCTTTGGCAGACCAGTACAGCGCTTGGGGTGACAGCAGCATTCAGTGCTCGGAGCAAGTAAGTCGCCTCTCAATCTTCTCCGACTGCCGCTGCATTATCTCTTAAGGCCTAGGACCCCTGTCTGGCGTACAGTCGTTACCCTCCATGTCATCGACCTCTTAGTCTCCATCCTTGCATGGTAAACCCCAGCTGATTTCCTTTAGTCATCCTTCCTTTCGTAGTGTCGCAGTTTTTCCCTATTTGGGATTCATTCGATCCCGAACCAATTCTTTCGGATTGATGGAAGTTGCTTCATCTCCAGATTATTTTCTCTATAGTATTTATCCCTTGGCGCTCTCGTGGATGCCTGGTGCTCCTGTAGGTCATTGACTCACAAACAATCAACCTCTTGCTCTTCAGGTGTTCTGCTTCGTTTTCTTCCTTACAACCATTTTCATCGCCTTCGGATCTGCTTTGGGATATCTAACCGCCCTTACCGAGTCGATCGCGGTATGTGTTCTTATAACTCACTTGTATCTGGCAAGTGTTGAGATTTCAATTGTTCCTCAATAGAGAGTTTTCAATTTCTTTGACAGAAAACTGTTTGGTTCCATCGCACAAACAGACGCCTCTTATGCGCTGGAATGTCTTGCGCTGGATTGGGAGTGTGCCTTGTCGCCACGATGGTGGAGGTGAGCATCATGTTCCTCCTTGCGCTTTCAAGTTTTCTCTTTCAGACGGCCAATCAATATTATTACTACTCAATCTATCAAATCGGTGGACCAGGTCTGGCTCTTGGGCTTGCGCTCATCGCTGGATGGTCGGATGGCTGGCGGGCTCAAGCGGTTGAAGTCGGTCCCGTTCCTGTTCTTCTCCATTTTGGATCGTTTTTCCTGGTTATTGGCGCGATTTGTTTCCCTGCCGGATTCACTCTCGATGAGATGTCAAGAGAGACTTGTTCGGAGAATCCATTCTTTTATTTGTCAAAGTGGCAGTGCAGATTACGCATAGCGATTCCGCTGTTCATCGTTCTCAGCTGCATTTCGTGTTTTCTTGCTTTTTTATGGCGTTTGAAGTATCGCCGGAGTCAAGGAGAGACTCGTTATCGTTGCTTCTTGGTCAGTTCACTTCATTGCTTCTATACTTCAGTTTCATCTCATCATTTCATCAGAGTGCCGCATGGTGGTTGATTATGGGAAATGTTGAACTTCTTCGCGCTGACGTCAATGATGTCACCACACCCCCCCCATCACGATTGATCATGTCAAACACTTGGCAACTCCGAAAACAAAGCGCCCCTCAAAAGGAGGATCGTGTCGAGACCCAAGGTGACTTATTGACGCAATGACTCGCAATCGTGTTTCAATTCAGATAATAAGGGCCTTATCAATACCGTGAGAAGCCCGATGCTTCTATCCGGGAAGGTCCCCAGATGGTTCGGACTGTCCTTGAAGTACTTGGTTCCGACAGTGATGGCTCTGGTGATCTATTTCCAATTCATGCATGTATGGGGATTCAGTCCCACCGAAAGTCGCTATGGTTTGAAAGTATATGGACATATTTTTAAATTCCCTGAGGTTCATGCCGCCTTCATGGTCGCAAGTGAGTCGTCCCCATGGTTCGATTTGACGCACCTGCCCTTTTCAGTGTCCCGCACATTTCAAGCGTTTCTCGCTGTACTTTTTTTGTCGTGGCCCATTCCAGGGGTGAGTGGAATGGTCCAGCATGGAAATTCCCTTATCTGCTTTCCTTCCTTGCAGCTTCTCCGTTTTTGTAGTCCTTATGCTCGATACACGCATCGTCGTATTTGGATAGGATCTCAGGGGTTGGATTACAAGAAAGGGCTTGAAACCCTCTTCTCATTTTTCAAGGAATTGCGTCAGTCACCAACTCAGTACAAAAATCATTCCCTCGCAACCCTCAATACGGGCGATTCAACTGCTAAAACCCCAACAAGGCTTTCAAGCATTCCGGCAGCATCTTTAATTTCACAGTGGAATGCAGATCCAATTAATCCCTTCACTTTGCCTGAAACAGATAAAAGTCTTCACCTCGAGACCAAGGCCACCACCGCTTCAAATAGCGCAGCCAGTCCGCTCTACAACCCAAACTCCCCGTATTTCACTCGATCCTCAACGTATTCGCAATCAGAAGCGAAAGCCCGAGGAATTTCTCCGATGGGTGAACGTCCAAGCCGATATCAGAGCTGCGATGATGCAAGTCAGGTTCCTAGAGGCTCCATGTTGTACAAAATACAACTTCATGGGCGTCAATTCAGCAACAACCTTCTCAGCAGAAAAAGGTCTAAACGACGATTTATTGGATCTCCATCAAATATCACTAAAACGTCACAACCCAGCAAACCAGAAACAGATCAGTCGGGTTCTTCAACGCCTTCCAAGCCTCTGGGAGATCGAGACGCGCCAAGGTCTGACCTGGAGAGAAGCCCGCAAACTCCCCCTACGGAAGGAATTCTCAAGCTGTCCCAAAAAAGCCGAAAACCGGAGTCTTCTGTTCGTTTTTCCAGAACAGTGGATGTCAAGAGCACCGTGCCCACCTCGATACCAGAGTCTGCATCTTCAAAGCTTTGGAGCTCTTCTTACGAGGAATCCTCCGATTCCGAGAACGGGTCGTTTGAGAGTGAGAGGCACTTGTCTGCACCATCCCGCGTTGCCAATCATCTGGCGTCGTCGCCCAATTCAGCCTCTCGGAAAAACGTCAATAATGGTTCAGCATGAGGTCGTGCAGTATAAGGTTGTGCAGTACATAAGGTCGTGGTAGTCAACAAGCCACAAATCGATTTTGGATCATTTTAATGGGTGTGTGCCCTAAAGCGACGCAGCTCCGAATTTTTTCAGCTTTTATTTTTTTACATCAGGCAAATTTTTTTTGAAGTCTGATTTTTTGACCCCGCAGGCAACCAGCATTTAGCAGGTTAACTGTACCTTACCATGACTCTATGTTTTTCAATCTCAACAGGACTCCCATTTTCACTAATTTGGTTAAGCACAGATTTCTCTGTTCAGAGGCGAAGCAAACAGTAAAAAAATGCAGGTCTCCCAAATGTATCGTTTGTGGGTCGACCATACCAGCGACAACAACATCTACGTTACGCCGTCTGTTGCGCCTATCTGCATGGATTGATTCAAATCCGACGTCCAAAGTCTTTCTATCGTCAACCTGCCAACGATCAAATGGTAGGCCTAACGTCTTTTCGCAGTCTCTTGATCCTCCGTTACAGAAAAGTCCAATCCATTTTATAGCAAGGCTGTGGAGTCTTATTTCCAGACTTCCCGCTACGCTACTCCCCATCTTGTAAATTCTCCCAACATTCCTCCATTCCGTCAACACATTGCGAAAGTTTTTCGCGAGGCCCTACCAGAGTCTTTCTCTCATGATGTACCCCAGAAACTTCCAAAACCCTCCGTGTCAAGCATCATTCAATCATCGATTGACGCACGGAAAGCGCCAAGTGCTCCCTTGACCACCAAGGTACGTCTTCTCTACCAATCAGGTTCGCATGATCCTGTTAACAGATCGAATCTATTGCGCAACTACTTGATAGCGCGTTTTGTGGAATTCGTCATCTGCGACGTGTTCAATCTCTAGTCGGATCCATCGACATCGAGGAACTCCGAAAATCGAGTGAAGACTCCCTATGGCTGTCAAAATCAGAAAAAGAGCGTTTCCGGGAGAACATTCGAGTGGTTCCTGAGAAAGACTTCAAAAGTCTAACGGCAGGTCTGTCAGATCCCATGCTGATCCCACTCCAACGCTGTGAATGCAGGCACTCTTCTGATCGCTCATCCACTAGCAAGCGATATTTGGCAAGGAACGGTCATTTTGATCACTTCAAAAACGGCGAGGGTCGTTGAAGGAATCATCATTAATCGCCGCCCATCAGACTCCGACTTTCTGTCTTATTCATGGAAGGACCACGTCTCTGCCGCATTTTATGACGCTCTTTATCGCCTTACAGGATCGGTAAGTTCAGGCCGT